TTGAGAAACCTCATGTCCAGAGAGCTCAGCCTCTGCATTCTCATCCCGAGGTTCACATCCGGGCAGTGATTAGGGACACGGAAAAGCTCCCGGAGCTTTTCTTGCCTACAGAGTTCCTGAGGTGGAATCACTGTGTCTCCAGCTTCACCCACCTGGGGACTTGTAAGAACCAGTTACGCGGTGGCTCAGGCCTCTAATCCCAACACTATGGGAGGCCGTGGCGAGATAATCACTTGAGCCCAGAAGTTTGAAGCTGTAGTGAGCTGTCATCACGCCACTACAGCCTGGGCAACAGAGTGAGAGCCCAACACACACACACACACAAAGAAAAGAACCCACTTACATTAAAGCCCTGCATTTTAATGACCCAGAGGCCTCTGCAGCTTGGGGTCCCAAAGAAGCACCCCGTTTGTACCCCGGGCTGGTGCGTCTGCTGCCAGCTCGTCTGGTTCATGATTCCACAAGGCAGGTGTAGTTACCACCACTCGCAAACCTCTGTCCTCCTGAGTCGGAAACTCTAAGGTTCAATGAGGTTGAGTCAGTTGCTCAGAAGACACAGCTTCCCCACCAGTCAGGTTCTTCCCCTCCTGCTCTGGCACACCCCTCGCCCCAGCCTCTGAAAGGAAGTTTTGCAGATGCCACTGTGGTGGCACCCACGGTGAAATACCGTCGTTCCCCAGCGGCCAGCCCCTAGCTCAGAGCTGTGTGGGTCCCATGCAGAGTGGGGGACAATGGCCTTCTCCCAGCCCAGGGTGGTCTTCAGCGCTAGACCCTCCAGCTGGGGCAAGTTTTCCAGCAGCATCCTTAGGCAAGACCCGTCCTATCCCTTGCAGCCTCCGTTCCCCTTCTCCACATGAGCAGATCAATCAAGACAGACTCCCAGTGCCTTCCTGAGCGTCTGAGTCTCCGGCAGCAGGAGGGAAGTTTCTTCTACTTGTAGAAAAGAAGGAAAACAAGAAACAAGGGAAAACTCTGGGGCCAATCACCTGGCCACAGGCGTGGTTTTGCTTGTTGGAGCCAGGTCTGAGCTGCAGCCAAGCTGGCCCTGCTCTTCCAGGGGGTGGGGCAATCTCCTGCACACCAGGCCCAGATGCCCTGGGGCACAGCCAGTCCCGGCAAAGGGACCACAGCCCCAGGGGAACGGCCTCCCTCATCACCAAGGCCACCTGCCCGGTGGCTCAGCATGTGGGGCACAACTGTCCTTGCACTTGGGAGCCACAGACTATGAAGGCATCCAGGAAGCTCCAGCAACGCAGCGTTAGGCAGGTCCCTTCACCTGGCTTAGCCCCAGAGTTCTCATCTGTGCAGGGAACACTAGCCCCTTCCTCAGAGAACTGGCAGGGCAGAGGTAAGCCTGCTGGGTGGGCACGGGGGGTCCTGGAGGAAAAGGGTCCCAAGTTCATGCTCACTGGGTGAGCAGCCGGCTTGGCACCCCGTAGATGCTGAACCCAGGTCACTGCCCGTGCTCTCAGCACCTGATAGTCCAGAGACTCAGGAACGGCTGTCCGTCCTGCCCCCACTCCTGCGGCTCCTGCAGTCCAGTCTCCAAGCCCGCCTGGCCTCTCTGTTGGTGAAAGCAGCAGCGTGGGAGCCCACGGTCAGCAGGAAGCCCAGCTCCAGCACACAGGCCCTCTCCCAGGGCCTCACCGCCTGTCTTCTCGCAGTCGGGGAAAGGAAGGGTGGAAAGCACTGCCTATCTCACTGGCACATGCACGTCAGACCAGGCGGCCCTGTGTCTCTCCTAAGCCCTGGAGCTTGCTGGACTTGCCGTCTTTTCAGGAAAATCCCAGAAGCAGTGAGGAGACCTGAGGCCTCCCTGCCTGTCCCCTCCCTCCCTCCCTCCCTCTCTCCCTCCCCCCCCCCCTCCCTGTCTCTCTCCTTCCTCCCCTGAACACACATCACTTGGTCCTGTCGTGTGGTGGGAGCTGGGGACACAGAGTTGCCTGAGATGCAGAGTGCTTACTGCAGGAGCTCCTTTGTGCCAGGAGGGAGAACCGAGCACGGCAGAAAGGGCGAGTGACAGAGTAGGGGACTAAGTGCATGGGGCGGCGTTTGCCTGATGCTGAGAAGGAAGGGGTCCAGGTTGGGGGCAGGATGATGCCCAGGGGGGTCTCTGGCTTGGCTGCTTGGGTGCTGCTGGGACCTGTACTTAAGTAACAAGGGAGGCGGGGGGCGCGTGGGAAGTCGGGAGGTGAGTTTGGATTTGGAAGTGGTGCCTCCCCGTGGAGTTGGACATTCAGGTCCAGAGCTCAGAATGAAGGGTAGACCGCTTGTTCACCTGCAGGTTGGCCACATGGTGCCCCCAGCACTGTGCCTGGTTAGGATCAGCCCTCAGGAGTGTGCACGACCAGCTTCATTCTCTCCCTGCAGGAGGACCGTTTCAGTCAGGGTCACATCCAGCCTGCCTGGCCAGTGGCTCATAGGCCCGGCATGCCCAGCAACGCCCCAGTCCTGGCCAGCTCCAGGCCTGCAGGGAGCACCGCCCAGTCACACTGGGAGGCAGGCCCCCTACCCTGCCTGGGCAGCTGCCCACCCTGCCAGCATCCCTCCCCATCGGGCTCTGCCTAACCGTGCCACCCAGGAGAGCCACCAGACAAATCCATTAGTTCAATCACCCCGACGCAGGCAAACGTCCTCATCTGGCTTCAGTTACCCAGACAGAGAACTTCCTGGTCGTACCAGTGGTGCCCGTCAGGAAAGCACAGTGCTGCTTTGCCTTGGATCTAGCAGAGTCTGGCTTCTTCCCCCACTCATGGCCCCTTTCCTGCTGTGCCCCACATTCTGCCTGTGGCCCGGGGCCCGCAGCTTTGCTGAGCTGAGCACAACCTGAGGCCTGGCAAGAGCCCCGAAGCTTTGTGGGTGGCCACTGGGCCTTCTTCCTCCTACAGCCAGAGGAACACGGTGCTGCGTGTTCTGGGGGGTTCCCATTCCCACACATCGCTCTCATTGAAAACAGGCCCAGAGAGGAGGAAAGGCACCCCCCGAGGGTGCTGACCTGCCCCCCAAACCTGGGGCTTAGTTAATACCCAGGGCCAGTCATCCGGTGTGACTGGCTCCGGAAGTTCCCAGGCACCATCAGCCCCGCACAGGCCACTCACTGGGGAGGAGATCAAGGCAGGTGTTTCGGCCACAACGGGTCTGAGATGCTGGTGGGACAAGCACGTGGAGATAGGAAGGTAATTGCGTCCAGTGTGGGTGTCGCAGGCCTCGGCCGAGAGCATGGGCCTGGAGATGCCTCCTAAGCTATAAACCCACACAGTATGAGGAGCTGTTGTCTGTTTTGGGGGTCCCGGAATCCTGGCCTTGCCAGCTCCACACAGCCCCTGGCAATTCCAGCGTAAACCCCAAATTCAGGGTCTGTGTCCAGGATGGGAGAAACCAAGGGCTACGTCCCTGGCATGCGTTTTTGCCCTCAAAACACAGGGAAGCAAGAAGTAGCATGTTTTTCATTTTTAAATTTTGTTTAACCATCCTCACCTCAAGTCTCCAGTCCATGAAGATGGCAAAAAATTCAGTCTCGCCTGACCCCTGGGCCTGCAAAGCTTTTGGTGTGTAGCGTAGTACGGAGGGCCCCTCTCCACCTGAAGGGATCTCTTCTCTCTGTTTCTCAGAGACTGGCCCTCCCTCCTCCCCTTCTCTTAACAAAAGTCAGGAAACACCTCCCACAAGACACACAGACACAAACCTGCATACACAGACACACACACAGAAACAGAGACACACACAGACACATGCACAGACACACACAGAAACACAGACACACACACACACACTCCCATGCACACAGACACAAACCTACATACACAGACACACACACAGACACAACCCTACATACACAGACACATACACAGAAACACAGAGACACACACTCACATGCACACACTCATAGAGAGACACACAGACACACATGCACAGACACACACACTTATTTTTCCATCCTGCCACAGGCGCGATCGGGGCCAGTCTCCTGCATGTCCTTCATGGTTGTTCTGGAAACTCGAGGGGTTTGAGGTTGGCTTTTGCAGGAAAGGGCAGTGCCTTGTCATAGGGTCACAGCCTGTCCCACTGTTGCCTCCAGGCCCAGCCCAGAGCCTGGCATGCAGTGGCTGAGCAAGACGTATCAAATGCCATTTACACATTGCAATCTTGTACCTGCACCCAACTTCGCTGAAACAGGGGCGAGAAGGGGCGCCGGGAAGGATGGCAGCGAGCGCCACAGAGGTGAGGGGAGGGAGAGGGAGGCCTCAGACCTCTGCTGCCACGGCCAGAGCCAAAGCACCTCCTTCAGCGTTGAGGTCACTCTGGTCTCGGGGCCTGACGTGGGCAAAGGGCTAGAGGCGGAGGTCGCGGGGTCTGCACCGTAAATTCAGAAGGGCTTACGGTGCGCGGATGGAGGACGGATGTGGACGGGAAGCCCCAAAGGCAACTGAGCAGCTCCCTGGCTCTGGGCAAGGAGGAGCTGGAGGCCCCAGCGAGTGGCGAGGACTGCGGGCGGATCGCGTAGCGCCTGTCGTGACTGAATTTCAGCGCTGCGCAGCCGTGACGGCCTCTTCGTTGTGTTGGCTTTGTTGTTTTACTTTAGTGAATGTTCAGAAGCATTTCTCGGGGCTTTCCTAAGATAACCTGCCCTTACTTTCCTCCTAAGTCTGAAGTTTCTCAGCTGCAAATGCGTCTGCCTCAGGAGCATCCCGTGGGAATCTTTGTGATTGAGGGAGGGCTTAGGAATGACCAAGTGAACCAATGATTAAATAACAGAATGGGTGCGTGGGGCATGAGGGATGCGGCCAGCTCGGGAGGGGGGTTGGCGGAACAGGTGAGGTAGTGGCAGAAGGAAGGGATTTCTCCCCACGCATCTCCCCTCCGCAGCCAGCAGACCCCCTCGGGCAGGCCACTCGCAGAAAGCTGTTGCGAGCAGACCAGTGGATGGGCGGGGCATGCCCCACGCAGCCAAGTCCCCTGGCTTCCCTTCTCAGTGAATGCATTCTTGTTTTCCTGTCTAGGGCCCCCTGGACGGCGCGGCAAGCCTGGGAGAAGAGGCGACCCTGGTGAGTCCCAGCTTTTCTCAGCACCTGAGTGGAGGCTTGGAAGCCACCATGGCCCCAGGCTCTGGCTGCACGGCCTGCCCACCTGCTTCCCCACCCTGATTCATGCCTTGGCCCTGGGCAGGTGCTCCTCCCCCTTCCAAGTCCAGCCGCTGAGGCCACAGCACCCACTACTGCCTTTCCTGGGCTTCTTGGCATTCACAGTTCCAGGACTGTCCCCTCTCCCCCAGACATCCCCTGAATCTCATTGTTGGCCTTGAGCACTTCGGCCCCTAGTCTCGCACTCCAGAGCAGCCCCCCTCTCTGAGGCAGAAGGTGATGACTCCGCCAGCCACGACCTCCCCCATGGGTCCTTCAGCACAACCCGGTTCTTCTGTGGGTTTCATCCCTCCCCAGATGTGGCCTGTCCTTCCTTGGCGGAGCCGCCAGGAGGAGACTCCCCCCCCTCCCTTCCCTGCAGTCTGCAGAGGCACCTGTGTTCTCCACCCTTCCTTCCTGCTGCCTCTGCTTCACCCAGAACACCCCCTGCTCATCCCCATCACCCAGAACCCCCCCGCCCGTCCCCATCACCCAGAACTCCCCTGCCCATCCCCATCACCCAGAACACCCCTGCCCCGTCCCCATCACCCAGAACCCCCCTGCCCGTCCCCATCACCCAGAACTCCCCCAGCCTCCCCATCACCCGAACCCCCGCCCTCCCATCACCCCCCCCCGCCCATCCCCATCACCAGAACTCCCCCCGCCCGTCCCATCACCCAAACCCCCCCCCCCAGACCCCCCGCCCGTCCCCATCACCCAGAACTCCCCCCGCCCGTCCCCATCACCCAGAACCCCCCCGCCCGTCCCCATCACCCAGAACCCCCCCGCCCGTCCCCATCACCCAGAACCCCCCGCCCGTCCCCATCACCCAGAACCCCCCGCCCGTCCCATCACCCAGAACTCCCCCGCCCGTCCCATCACCCAGAAGCCCCCCGCCCGTCCCCATCACCCAGAACCCACCCCGCCCGTCCCCATCACCCAGAACCCCCCCTGCCCGTCCCCATCACCCAGAACCCCCCCGCCTGTCCCCATCACCCAGAACTCCCCCGCCCAGTCCTCATCACCCAGAACTCCCCCCTGCTCGTCCCATCACCCAGAACCCCCCGCCCGTCCCCATCACCCAGAACCCCCCCCCGCCCAGTCCTCATAACCCAGAACTCCCCCCGCCCAGTGCTCATCACCCAGAACCCCCCCGCTCATCCCCATCACCAGAACCCCCCCGCCCCATCCCCATCACCCAACCCCCCCCGCCCAGTCCTCATCACCCAGAACTCCCCCCGCCCAGTCCTCATCACCAGAACTCCCCCTGCTCGTCCCCATCACCAGAACCCCCCCGCCCGTCCCCATCACCCAGAACCCCCCCCCCCCCATCACCCAGAACTCCCCCGCCCGTTCATCCCCAGTCCATCCCCAGAACCCCCCCGCCCGTCCCCATCACCCAGAACCCCCCCCGCCCCGTCCCCATCACCCAAATCCCCCCGCCCGTCCCCATCACCCAGAACCCCCCCCCCGTCCCCATCACCCAGAACCCCCCTGCCCGTCCCCATCACCCAGACCCCCCCCCGTCCCCATCACCCAGAACCCCCCCCGCCCGTCCCCATCACCCAAACTCCCCCCCCCGTCCCATCACCCAGAACTCCCCCGCCCGTCCCCATCACCCAGAACCCCTCCGCCCGTCCCCATCACCCAGAACCCCCCGCCCGTCCCCATCACCCAGAACCCCCCCCTGCCCGTCCCAATCACCCAGAACCCCCCGCCTGTCCCCATCACCCAGAACTCCCCCCGCCTAGTCCTCATCACCCAGAACTCCCCCCTGCTCGTCCCCATCACCCAGAACCGCCCGTCCCCATCACCCAGAACCCCCCCCGCCCAGTCCTCATAACCAGAACTCCCCCGCCCAGTGCTCATCACCCAGAACCCCCCCCGCTCATCCCCATCACCCAGAACCCTCCCGCCCGTCCCCATCACCAGAACCCCCCCGCCCCGGCCCCATCACCCAGAACTCCCCCCGACCAGTCCTCATCACCCAGAACCCCCCCGTCCCCATCACCCAGAACGCCCCCCGCCCCGTCCCCATCACCCAGAACTCCCCCCGCCCGTCCCCATCACCCAGAACCCCCCCCTGCCCGTCCCCATCACCCAGAACCCCCCCGCCCGTCCCCATCACCCAGAACCCCCCTGCCCGTCCCCATCACCCAGAACCCCCCCCGCCCGTCCCCATCACCCAGAACTCCCCTGCCCGTCCCCATCACCCAGAACCCCCCCCGCCCGTCCCCATCACCCAGAACCCCCCTGCCCATCCCCATCACCCAGAACTCCCCCGCCCCGTCCCCATTACCCAGAACCCCCTGCCCATCCCCATCACCCAGAACTCCCCCGCCCAGTCCTCATCACCCAGAACCCCCCGTCCCCATCACCCAGAACCCCCCGCCCCATCCCCATCACCCAGAACCCCCCCTGCCCGTCCCCATCACCCAGAACCCCCCGCCCCGTCCCCATCACCCAGAACCCCCCGCCCGTCCCCCTCAGCCCGTCCCCCTCACCCAGAACCCCCCCGCCCCGTGCCCATCACCCAGAACCCCCCCGCCCCGTCCCCATCACCCAGAACCCCCCCGCCCCGTCCCCATCACCCAGAACCCCCCTGCCCGTCCCCATCACCCAGAACCCCCCCGCCCCATCCCCATCACCCAGAACCCCCCCGCCCCGTCCCCATCACCCAGAACCCCCCCGCCCGTCCCCATCACCCAGAACCCCCCGCCCCATCCCCATCACCCAGAACCCCCCTGCCCGTCCCCATCACCCAGAACCCCCCTGCCCAGTCCCCAGCAGTTTGCCCCCTTCACCCAGGGACTCGTCCCTAAGCCCCTCTGACATCATCTTCGCTACAGTCATGCTCAGCTCTGATGGCCACCTCTGATGGCCACTCTGGAGGCTTTGCTGTCTTTCTCTTTCTTGACCCCCACCCTTGGCCACTCCCCATGCCGGGCAGTCCCGGGTGTCTCGGCTACGCTTCCCACCTCATCTGTGACCTTGGCTCCTTTGCCATTCTCACAGGACCCCCCTGCCCTGTGAATGAATCTTCCCTGGCCCTCTCCTCTCCTGTCTCCCACAGTCTCCCACTCCTGTGATGCTGACCATGTCCTCTCCCTGCCTCCAGCCACATCCTCCCCACTGGGTCCCCGAGGTTGGACATTGCCCTGCTAAAGCCAGCATCTCCCCCAGCTTTCTTCCCTGGGCTTCCCCATCGCAGGGAGGTGGCATCTAGCCACATGCTTCCCTGTGTAGACACCTGGCTCCATCCTCGATCCCTTCCCTGCCCACGCCAAGTCCTCGTGAGCCTTCTCCGCCATGGCTTGGATCCGTGTCCTCTTCTCTGTTCTCACCGCCGTGGCCTCCTGCAGCTCTCATCGCCCCCAACGCCATGCCCCCACCTCCAGCCTCACCGTGGATGTCCAGGGCCCTCCAGCTTCTGAGCCTTCACTCTTACGTCTTCCTGCACCCAGAACATCTCCTCTACCTGGACTCCCACCCCAAGATCATTACCCTTTGTCCTTTAAGCCCAGCTCAAGCATCTCCTCCAAAAACACCTCTAACCGTTTTGTCCAAGAGGTGTCGCCCAGCACTTAGCAGAGGCAGCCCCCAGGCATGTAAATGCAGGGAACAGCGAATGAATGAATGCCCCGCCCCTAAGCAACGTCACAAGGTGGCCGTGGGGACGAAGCCAGGCCAGCTCACCACCAGGAGGACCCCAGGCTAACTGGACCCAAGGGGAGGCAGTGGCAGGTTTTCTCCAGGCCTCAGACTCTTCTCCCTGGAGCTGGGCACAGGCTTTCTGCCTCCTCATTCCACTGGGTTTGCAGGGTCGAGTTCCTTACACAGAGGCCCTCCAGATACACTCCTTAGCACTCCCTGGCAGGAAGCACCCTTCGTGTCTCTTTCTGCCTTGACTTCTGGAAGCTGAAGCCTGTTTTGCGTTCAGTAGCTGGAGCTTCCTTTAGCTTCTGTGTGTAATCACCCCAGACCCTGCCAAATACACACTTTATTACTCCGTTCTTATTTTCACCCTTGTAAAAGGTTTTATTGCCTTTTATTATAAGTTCCTGACATGATTTTTGGAAGGAGATGAGGAACACAGAGTCACTTTTTTAGGGCAAAGTATGATATCATTCAGCTTGCTTCAAACTCCGTTTAACTTATGACTCGACTTTAAAACAACCTCAAAGTCAAGGAAAGACAGACCCAGTGGGTCCCTGGCCCTGTGCTGGACTCTTTCAAGTCCTTTATCTCGTGCGATCCTCAGAGCACTGCAGGATAAAGAATATGTTATTATACCAACTTGCTGATGAGGAAACTGAGGCTCCAAGGGGTACAGTACCTTGCCAGAGGCCAGCTGCTGGCCAAGGGGTGGGCGGGATCCCACCCCCTCGTTGTTTTTCCTGGGCGGTGTCCCGATCGTCTGCCTATCCAAAAACAGTGAGCTGCACAGAACAGATGTGCCTCTCTGATTGGCTTGGCTGGGCCTTGAGTTTCTTTCTAGATAGTTACACACATACGCACATCCCGGCTTTTTCCCTTCCCTTGTATAAAGAGGCCTTTTTCCTGTGTCCCTTGGGAGAAAGGCTTTTTTTTTTTTTTTTTTTTTGGAGACAGAGTCGCTTAGTCACTCAGGCTGGAGTGCAGTGGCACAATCTCAGCTCACAGCAGCCTCTGCTTCCCAGATCCAAGTGATTCTCGTGCCTCAGCCACCTGAGTAGCTGGATTACAGGCATGCGTCACCATGCCCAGCTAATTTTTGTATTTTTAGTAGAGATGGCGGGATTTCACCATGTTGGCCAGGCGGGTCTCGAACTCCTGGCCTCAGGTGATCCGCCCGCCTTGGCCTTCCAAAGTGCCGGGATTGTAGGCATGAGCCACCGCACCAGCAGAGAAAGGCTGTTTTTGCCAGGTAGGGCAGTGCCTGGCTG